TTCAAAATTTGGAGGTACGATCGCAGAACATAAATACACAAGTGGTGCGAGCAAGCAGAAAGGTAGTGAAATAGAATTTGCATGAGACTAGCCAATGAGCCCAGCATCTCTCCCGCCCCTGCCGCAGGCCTTGGAAAAGGAGCCTGATGAAGTAACCAGAGACGCAGGCAGGGACGCCCCTGCAGGGGCCCATCATCCCGGGTCCCCCCACCCCACCCCTGCCTCCGTGCGGGTGCAGCGAAGGCGTTCCAGGCTCTGACTTCTGGGGAGGTGACAACTGAAGCGAGTCTTGCACGCGTCCTGAGTGTGGGGTCTGGGACGGCCACCCTTCCGAAATCTAGGCGGCCCTCGGCAGCCCGCAGGTGCCCCGAGGCCGGGCCTCCGCTGCCCACTCAGAGGCGGAAGCCCAGCTCTTGGGGGCCCGCCGCTGGGCTCCTGGCCTGCACAGCCGCCCAGGTACCGGCCTCCCACAAGCTCCTGAGCTCGGGCCGTCCCCTCGACAGCCCCTTGCCCGCCCAGGGAAGATGGCCACTTCTGAGGCTTATTTCTGTGAGCTTCCGTGGTCCCTTCCTGATTTTTTAGACTCCCAACAGCTGTTCAACCAACTGTCCTATTAAAGTCTGTCTTTTGATTTTAGCAGGTTTCTGTTTCCTGGAGGGCATTCTGACGGGGACAGTAGCTGGTACCAGAACAGACCCTAAAAGATACAATCACACAAGCAGTTTGGTCCTGCTCTCATCTTCGACCATGGTACCGAGCTCCTGGCCAGCAGGGAGGGAGGTGCCCGTGACCCGTGGCAAGAAGCGGCGAACCAGACCGGCACCTGTGCTCGAACCGGAGGCCTGGATGCCTTCGGGGGGGACCCTGCAGCCCATCGCAGTCAACCCGCCTCCAAGCCCCCCAACGGCCCCGTTTGCGAGGGGGACTCGGCCCCGGAGGAAGGGCGGGGGCCAGAATTCGGACCAAGCACCGGGGCCCCAAAACACCACCGTGGTCCTCTAGTGACAGCGGGGGCTTCTCGTGGACAGGAGATGGTGGAACTGGGGCGCAAGAGGGGGGCCGAGGGCAGGAGGAGGGAGAAGGGGCTTGCTCTCCCCCGTCTGCTGCGCATCCTCACACCGCCCCGGCCACGCAGCGGCTTCCGCGTCAGAGGAGGCCGGTCTTCTGAACCAGGCGGCGGCCTCCACTGAAGCAGCCGCCCTGAGAGGCGAGGCCCCCGTGACCTCTCACCGCACCCGGCCCATAATCAGAGCCAGGGGTCCGAGCAGACGGGCGGGGAAGTGCAAGCCGGCTCCAGGAAGAAATAGCCGGCTTTCAAAAAACTCTTTTTTGCAGCAAACGGTCGATGTGAGTCTACAAAGCCTCCGCCTGGCTGGGATCCTTGGGCACCCCCTGCGCTAAAACAGTAAGAAGGACACTTGTGGGGACGCCTGGGCGGCTCGGTCAGTTAAGCCTGCCCGGGATTCTCTCGCTCTCGGCCCCTCCCCCACTGGTGCTCTGTCTCTCTCTCTCAAAATAAATACACTCGAAAAGAAAAAAGAAAGAAGAGGGGTGTCTGGGTGGCTCAGCTGAGCTTCCGACTCTTGACTTTGGCTCGGGTGGTGATCTTGCGGTTCATGGGTTTGGGCCCCGCGGTGGGTGCTGGCGGCTTGGAGCCTGCCTGGGATTCTCTCTCTCTCTCTCTCTCTCTCT